TTTTTTTTTTTTGATGGTGGTTATTTCTCTCAAGGTACGATGTAAGATGACCACATACAGAGATACAGAGGATACATATCGATACATAGTGTTACGCACTTATATTCAGAATGAAAAAATAATGCTTCTTGCAAAACGTTTACCTGTTCAGAAGTCAGCAAGCTCCACTTATGCTAAATCAGGGGACCTCTATTTAGCATGGGTAGATGTGAGGCAGGGCTCATTTTGATTTAAGGCATGGAAAAATCTAGAACTGTTAAATCCAAAACATCTTTCCCTCTCTAGGAAATGGTATCAGAGAGTAAGCACACAGCTGTAAATGCATTCATAATGCTTAGGCACCTATCAGCAATAATATACACAAGCAATAAAGTAAATCTACAGTTAATGTAAAAACAAACCACACAAACAAAATCCAATAGGCTACAAAGCCTGATACCTTTTTCTAAGAGGAGCAGTCTTCTCCTGGCCAAGATAATTGTCAAATCCTTCATCAAACTTAATCTGATGCTCTGGTCTTATACTAACTCGGGCTGTAGCAGACCTGGCAACTTTCATATTTGATATTATGTTACCAAAACTGAAATAATAAAAAGGCGTATTAGCTACAGAACAGTAATAAACTTTCTTAAACAGGAGATTGATATCATTTACTTATTATTTCACTTTTATGCACTAATACAGCATAGTTATGCTTAAATAAAAAATGTCACATAGTAACATTCACATAAGAGACCATTACGATTTGTTTACTTCTATCTTTTAAAGATGTTCTTTAGAAATTTTCATTTAAAACATAAATTAAAAGTATCACTTACGAAAAATTAAGACACATCCAGAGAAGCTGACAGGAAAGTACCATCAATATCTGTATGCCTAGCATCTACATTCAGTAAGTAAATTCAAGTAGCTATTTTTATTTGTGGCCTTGAGTCACTGGACTGACAGGCCAGATATTCATATTTTTCTTTTAACTTCCTGAGATAAATCTGTTACACACGCTCATTGAGAATGACTGACACAGATCACTCTGCAAAGCGAAGCAGTGCCACTCCTTATTCCACAGGGGCTGCAGCAGTATAACCTGGCATAAAGTAATGAGAGATGAGGACAAGTAGAAAGATGTCAGCTCAAACATAAGACTAAGAGGACAGACAGAAGGAAACAGGCCTGAAGATTATCATACTGTGCATAAAAACAACAAACTATTTAACTGAAAAAAAAATTAATTTTCTCAGAGAAACTATCATATTCTGTTATTTATTTTTAATAACATAACTGAATTTATCATTTTTTTTTCATGGACAAGAAACCAAGTAACTTCCTAAAAGAAAAGTTTACCATTCAATTGGTCTTTTAAAAACTACAATCTTACTTAAGATGTAACTTTTTTTTTTTTTTTTTTTT